AAGCCGAGATGGTGCTATGGCCTGAAATCTGCGCGTCGTAGTTCTTCAGTGAAGGTTTATATTCAACACGAACAGAAAAGCCGAGATGGTGCTATGGCCTGAAATCTGCGCGTCGTAGTTCTTCAGTGAAGGTTTATATTCAACACGAACAGAAAAGCCGAGATGGTGCTATGGCCTGAAATCTGCGCGTCGTAGTTCTTCAGTGAAGGTTTATATTCAACACGAACAGAAAAGCCGAGATGGTGCTATGGCCTGAAATCTGCGCGTCGTAGTTCTTCAGTGAAGGTTTATATTCAACACGAACAGAAAAGCCGAGATGGTGCTATGGCCTGAAATCTGCGCGTCGTAGTTCTTCAGTGAAGGTTTATATTCAACACGAACAGAAAAGCCGAGATGGTGCTATGGCCTGAAATCTGCGCGTCGTAGTTCTTCAGTGAAGGTTTATATTCAACACGAACAGAAAAGCCGAGATGGTGCTATGGCCTGAAATCTGCGCGTCGTAGTTCTTCAGTGAAGGTTTATATTCAACACGAACAGAAAAGCCGAGATGGTGCTATGGCCTGAAATCTGCGCGTCGTAGTTCTTCAGTGAAGGTTTATATTCAACACGAACAGAAAAGCCGAGATGGTGCTATGGCCTGAAATCTGCGCGTCGTAGTTCTTCAGTGAAGGTTTATATTCAACACGAACAGAAAAGCCGAGATGGTGCTATGGCCTGAAATCTACACAGTTATCACCAAGCTTTCGCTATACATTTGACGGCAACTTTTCTTCGAGGCTTTTTGGACTTTTAACCAAAGGATTGATGACATCAAGTTACTCCGCACCTCTTCAAAACAAAGCTTTTTGGGCTTTTGGATCCATAACGGATTTCTTATCCGACAACGACTTTGGAAGAAAAATAAACCCCACAGAACAAATACGGGCATTCAGTGAAGGCAATGATCTACTAAACCAACTGACCAAGCCGAGATACAGTTGTATCTCCTGAATCTCCTGTTTTTTCGTTGACCGATGCAATCACAATAACGGGAATATCTCCTTTCTTCCTCAAAAACCGGTCTCCTAAGGGCCTGTTCACATGAGATCAGGTCCTGATCAGCAGACGTGGACCTGCTGATGCAGTGCGTTTTTGATGCGTTTTCGGTCCGGATGCTGACAGTTAATTTTTTGTCAACGTTGATGACATCATAATAAGTGGAGCAAGAATACAATTTTATTCTTTTGCGTTGCGTTTCCGTTCCGTTTTCGTTGCGTTTCGTGCGTTTCCGGACCGGACAAAATGTGGCATGCAGTATTTTTTCTGTCGTAAGCTGAATGGACTGCGCACGTGAGAACTGGAGCCCATAAAACACATAGGGATACATTGGGATGCATTTTGAGTGCAGCAGCGCACGGAGCCGGTCAGCACACAAAACGGACGTCGTGTGAACACGCCCTTAATGAGGATATCCCATCGTGAGTTGAATACCATTCTTTAATCCTATTTGACTTGCAGGTGAAACTCGAATAATTAGAATATGGTGCAAAGTTTATTTATTTCACTAATACAACTTAAAAGTTGAAACTAATATATGAGAGAGACTCATTACATGCAAAGCAAGATAGTTCAAGCCGTGATTTGTCATCATTGTGATGATTATGGCTTACAGCTCATGAAAACCCCAAGAACCCCAAATCCACAACCTCAAAAAAGTAGATTATTACACGCAATCAATAAAACACGGATTGTACATAGAACAATATCGGACCTCTGGAAAGTACAAGCATGCATATGTACTCAGTACTTGGTTTGGGCCCCTTTTGCAGCAATTACTGCCATTACTTTTCCACCATATTCTAATTATTCGAGTTTCACCTGTATGTTGTTTTTCTTTTTTCTACCTTCATACATATGTATGGTATTTTTTCACAGAGCTCGTTTGCTGTTTTTTCCTCCCCCACCCCTCCCCCCTAGAAAATAGGGGTAACTCTTCCCATTCATGTGGGAATTCCTGAAATATGCTGAAACTTATATATGCATATTTTTGATAGCGGTTTGCTTTTTTCTATCTGAGAAATATAAGGCGTTCACACGCGTTGTCTCTAAACCGTTTTTCCATCATATACTGTTCCTAAATTATTAGCGGAATGCAGCCACATATATATATGTATGTTTTTTTTGTTTTTTGATTGAATAGTTTGGATATATTTTGTTATATATTTCTCTTTTTAAGCATTTCTATAAATAAATACATATATTTTTATAAATATTTGTTACACTTTTTGAAGGAATGGTGGGATCCCCTTCTTTGGGGAATTTTTAATCTTTTCTAAATATTAAATAGTAGGGGACCCACCTTCACTATATCTATATTTATAGCATCTATCAAACCTTCCTTTCCCCAAGTGTATATATCTCCTTATAAATATATTACTAGTTTCAGAAATCAGAATAGAGGAAACATTGTATCCATATATCTGC